CCCCAAAACCCCAAAACCCCAAAACCCCAAAACCCCGAAATATAAAAATTATTGAAAAATCAACCTGTTTTATTAGAAAATGAAAGAGAATTCTCCTCTTCGAAAGCTAAGGCTCTTAATAAAAGGAATCTTTTCCCAGTCAATGAAGGAGTTAGGTGAGGTTAGAAAGGCGTTAACCTTCTTCCTCTACAAACTGATCAAGACCGTTTATGTGCATCTCCATGTAAGAAAGCTTACCAAATAAAATGATGGAAGCTAAAAATTATAAAGAGTGGGAAGAGACAGGTAAAGAAATGGATGGAGTTCTTAGAAATAATAAATGGAAAGCTGAAATGAGATCTCGTAACTATGATTACAAAAATGTCAACTATATGTATCTTTTCCTCAAAGAACTCAGAAGAAACGACCTTGCACATGGATTAACTTATACATTGAGGTCTAACTTGTGTAAGAACATGTACGGTATTGCAAACCCTGTCTTGTATGAATAAAAACCGCTGTCGTTGGAACAAAATACTTAATTGAAAATCTCCAAACAGAGATCATTAGAAGTCTACATTGCATCCACGATACTGAAAGTATGAGCTTCCAAGAAAAAATTAAATTCTTTTCTGAAATTAGGCACTGATATGGAAGAACAGCTCTCATGTTCAGTGGGGGTGCATCAATGGGTGTCTACCATTTGGGATGAATCAAAGTTCTTAGAGAGCTAGATCTTCTTCCAAGAATCATATCTGGAAGTTCAGCTGGAAGCATATTCGCATCTTTGGTCTGCACAATGAAATATGAAGATTTAGAAAAATTTTATGATCCTCATTTCATTGAATTTAAATGATTTGAGTATAAAGAGAAAGGGTTTAAATTAATGCTTGGAAGATACCTGAAAGATGGAGTTTTCCTTGATATTAAAGTTCTACAAGAATTTCTCAAAAGCCAATTTGGAGATACAACATTTGAAGAAGCATATAAAAACACGGGATGGATTCTGAATGTTTCGGTGACAAGTATTCATCAAAAAGATGTCCCACGTCTTTTGAACTATATCACTTCTCCATATGTATTAATTTGGTCAGCAGTATCAGCATCTTGAGCTATTCCAAGTGTTTATGAACCCGTTGAGCTTATGTGCAAGGATTCTAATGGAAATATTATCCCTTTTACTTCCACTAAGAACCACGTTTTCATAGATGGATCTGTTGCTGCAGATCTTCCAATGCAGAGACTCTCAGAAATATTTAACGTAAATACATTTATAGTTTCCCAAGTGAACCCATTTGTTATCCCTTTTATTGGGAATGATGGAGGAGGAATTCTTGGGACCCAGTCAACACTTTCCAAAAAGATTATGGATTTCTGGAATAATGAAGTTTCTCACGTAACAAAATTATTAAGAATTTTTGGTGTTCTTCCTGATAAAGTTGACAGAGTTGCTGGATCAGCTGCTCAATATTACAAAGGTCATGTAACTATTTCTCCTAAAGTTAGGATCAGTGACTATTTGAACTTGCTAAGAAACCCTACACCAGAGTATATAGCAGAAGCTTCTAAGATTTCCCAGCAAAACACTTACCCAAAAGTTGGCTTGATTAAAGCAATCTATGAAATAGAAAGAGAAATTAACAATTGATACTGTAGCTTAATGGGAGACATTAAAGAAGAAAATGATATTATTAATACGATTGGACTAACTACACCAGCTACGTTTAGCTATAATATTACTCAAGCATTTACAAAAGCTCACAGTGCCACGATGCTTATAAAAAGAGATAAGAAAAGATCTAAAACACTGGACAACACTTTCGTAGGTTCAGTAAATTCTGAAGCAAATGATAAAGGTGCTTCAGAAGACAACTCAAAACCAAAGATGCATCACCTAAAGGAGAACAAAGAATTTGTGAATAAGTCTTTCTTCAATCCTGCAAAAGCTGGAATTCATAATGCTTATCTAAACCTGAAGCCAAATAGAGTTCCCTCTTCAAGAAGTCATTATAGTGTCAACTCCCTATGCAGTGACATATCGATAGGTAATTCCTTCTTTCCATATATAGATGAGGAAGTGCATGAAGACCCAACCTCTGAGATCAAGGATAGGATGGGTCTCTGGTCAAAAATTCATGACGAAATCAATAAAGAGGAGTAAATAATTAAAGTTTAAAATCACAATGAGTCGTTTAATCCTGACTATAAGAGGAATTTTTAAGTTTTTTGAGGTTTTAGAGTCGAAGTAATTATTATTGCAAACCTATACATTTTCAGTATTTTTTTATCTAAGTGGGGTTTTGGGGTTTTGGGGTTTTGGGG